CTCCAGCCACCAGCCACCAGCCACCAGCCACCAGCCACCAGCCACCAGCCACCAGCCACCAGCCACCAGCCACCACCACTACCACCACCGCCGAGAGGCTTTTGAAGCCTTTTTTTGAAATGTTGTGTTGTCGCTATCGTGGGAGTTTTGCTGCAGGCGATGGACGAGGCTCTGAATGCCGGCCAAATCCAGGAGACCAGGACCAAAGAGGGAGAGACCATGTATACGTTCAGGAAGGTGGCTACCGGGATTGAAAAGGGTGTGGAAACCTCTTTGGGCTGCACGAAGCAGAAGCAGGGTACCGCCAAACAGGCAGAGGTGTTGGAGGATATGTTCGACAAGCTGGAGTGGTCGGTGGACTTTAAGACCGTGGACTCTTCGAAGATTCAGCCTGGGAAGAGCCTGCCCAAGCAGATGGTTTCGCTCTTGGAGACCTCGATCCAGGCCACGATCCGCCTTTCTAACGAGAGCATGAAGCTGCTCAAGAAGTTTCTCGGCCTCCTCTTTTATTCAGTGGTTGCATATCAGAGCTTGTTCTGACATGCACGATAGTGTGCAAAGGCATGCACACACAACCCACCAAGGATCCTACATGAAACTCGCCATGCATCCTCAAAGGCATCACATTATTATCCCTCGCTTTCCCTCGGAGTATTAGCACCTAGAGAGGTATAATCAAACCCCAAGGTATCGCTCCCAGTATCCCTCAAAGTATCCCTCAAAGTAGCCGTCAAAGTATCCCTGAATGTATCCCTCACAGTATTATCCCTCAAAGTATCCCTCAGAGTACTTTCAATGCAGCCATATTATATTATAGCTCTCTCTAAGTATCTCTGATCTACACAGCAGTGGTTACCAAGGATTGGCGAAGAGACTGACGAGTGGAAGAACTTGAAGGCTTGCTACATGCATGCACAGAAGGTCCTGAGCGACCTTCGCCACGTGTTATCCTTCAAGGAAATGCCTGGCGGTGAAACCATATGCAAGGATAGCTTCGAAAAGTTCATCAAGGTTGTCGCTCAGAAGACTCTCAGCCACAACGAAGCTGTGAATGCAGGGAAGGCCCAGTCAAAGACCGGCAGCATCCCCGGCACCATCAAGATGAAGTGAGCACCGTCGCCACGTTTTCCGGATCGTGCATGCTGTATTGATGCTGGACTACTTACTAGTGTTACTAGTCACTACTCAGGAACCCTAATCCCCGGCTGCGGTATCTCCTTCAAAATAGGGTCGCCTTCACTCCAATATCATGGCTTTGGCAGCAGTGCAGCAACAACACGATCATGTTGCTCCCGGGGCTTCGTGTGTGTACCCGTGTGGACGATGTGTTGAGTTAGTGCCGGCTAGGGTTCAAAGCCTTGGACTACTACTTCTTAATCTTAGTCTGATGTTCATTTTGACATTTTTATTATCTTTCCAGACTTCTTTGCAGCTGGCTTCTCGACAGTCGGCCATTCGGGCCTGCATTATGGATGGGAGGGAATCAGCAGCCTTGCCGGTTTGGCGGGGGTGTATGTATTGCCATTCATGTGCACTTCGGCATGCACGTCGCTCTGAAGAAGTTCTGCGATGCAACCAGCATCCTTTTCGGCACCGTCACCAGTTCAGCTGTTTTCCGAGAAAAAAAAGCACAAAGCCATCAGCGACAGTGTCGGGTTTCCAAGTGTTCGGGGTTGTTGTTGGTCAAAGAGTTGAAACTTTGAGCAAGCTGTTGTACATAGTATCGTGCTGTTGCTGTCATCAAGCTTGCTCTGCAAACTTGATGACAGTGAGTGTGGAGTTCAAACAACTACCAGATCAATAGGCTCCTCTTCACATGAATATTATTCTGTTCAGCTGTTTTTACAAGGCAGAAGAGAGGTACGTGTGGATATCATATTATATCGAACTATTTTGATAGACTCAGATACACAAAGAAATATTATTAATACTATGTCCAAGAGATTCCATAACGATAGGGGCTTTTGTTGAGGTTCTTTGATTGTTGGAGGGGGCACCTGAAGTAAAACAAGGGTCCTGGGTCGAAATCGGCGCTTTTTTGGGGTTGATGAGGAGCACTCGATGCAAGATCCCGATGAGAATAGCAAACCTAAAAGTACATGCTACTTTTCTGAGAGGATTTCTTTGAGAGCAAGAGAGAATTTCTGAGAGGGTTTCTTTGAGAGCAAGAGAGAAGACCAGCAGAACAGAGGAATCAACGACCTGCAGCGGTGGCATCATTATTCATACACTGCATGTCTGCAGACCATTGACAACAGCAGCAAACAAGGGAAGGAAACATGACTTAGATACCAGTCTATGTCAACCAGCTTGATGAGGACCACTAGCAGCACTGGCAGTATGATATGACCACGGCTCTATTTCTTGATCATTAACAAGACTTCTTATTATTATTGGTGACTTTCATGGCAGCAGCAGCAGCACTAGCACCCAGCACTACGACCACCGCTACAACCGACACCAAACCAGATAACAACTGGAGAAGCAAGTCCCAGGAAAAGACCGAAATAATAAGCAGGACTTCTTCCCCGTGTGCCCAACAATGGCAAAGGTTCGTTTTCAGGGCTTTCATGGCTGGTAGGGGCCTGGGGCGGCCCAAGAAGAGGCCCTTTTCTGCCTCCTCTGCTAGCGGTCGAAGAAGGAAAGTTTTCCGAGGTGGCATTCAGCAACGACTACGTGCAGCTGGAGCCGACAGACCTGCTCCTTACCAAGAGGGAATCGCTACAGATTCTGAGTCAGATGGTGACGAGGATGATGGTGGTGATGATGGTGGGCCCCCAGACCATGATCCAGATCTCATGAAGTCGCTGTGTCCCAAGAGCTGTTTGGGTCGCGAGCTGTTGGAGCTTTTCGCATGGGGCAACATGAGCCCACAGCTTCTGCAGAAGTTGGCCGATGCGGCCAGGAAAGACATGGTTACAACTCTGGAAGAAGAGCACGGTGTTTCTGCGAGTGCAGCGGCTTCCCCTTCTTGCCTTCAGGAGCTTACAATGCTGGCATCCATCGGCTCCTTTGGAAAGTTCAGCAACAAATGCTACAGCGATCTTATGAGGAAAGTGGAGCCGAGAATGTGCATGGCTGAGACCTACAAGGCCAAGCTCTGCTTCGCGAACCCTCCCGGTGAACATACACAAGAGCTGCTGTTGCCTCACGAGCTGTTCGCTTGTATGTACGAAGATCATGGAGAAGCTTTTGTTCGCAACGTTTGCGGCGACGAGGAAACACGTCTGGGTTTCTGGGATCGTATGCGAACGGTTCCTCACCCGGCTTGGGAGGGACACCCGGTACAGACTCGCGACCTGAAGGGGGCGATCCCCATCGCCGTTCACGGCGACGAAGTGCCCATTGCGGGCATCGGGAAGCAGTGGAGCAAAAAACTGCTAAATGTGTCGTGGTCGAGTTTGTTGGGCGAGAGCTCCACCAAGTCGACACAATACTGGTGCTTCGGACTGATCGAGAAAACTGGTATCAAGGAGGGACCCAAAGCTACCATGCAGCAGCTGTGGAAGATTTTTGCATGGTCTTTAACTGCACTTTGGCTTGGGTACTGGCCGACGAGAGACCACGAGGGCCGAAGGCAGGATGAACTGAATATTCTCACTATATAAGACAGACATAAAGAAAACCGCAAGCCATTGAGTAGGAGTTGTTGTGTCTGCGAAAATCATTCTGTCTAGAAACAGAGAATACTGAAAGATAGTCTTAGGGTAATCTAAAAAAATCAACCATGAATGAAAAGAACAGGTTTCCAGCTGGCTCCATCCAGGCCGAGCGAGCCGGGCAAGCACTTGCAGGTGGTTTTTATGGTGTGCTCTGGTCCCTCATCGGAGATCTCGATTATTTCACACAGATTTTGCAGCTGCCCAACTACAACAATGCCACAATGCCATGCCCGCTGTGCAGAGCAAGCTTATCTGGAAACCTGACGTGGTCTAACTTCAGCTCCACGGCGCCATGGAGGGCAACCATGTGGCGACCGCACACATGGCATTTGTGGCCAGATCGCTCCCGGAACCCGGTCTTTTCGATACCGGGTGTATCATCGCTGCAAATTGCTTTGGACTACATGCACTCCAAGTATTTGGGGACGGACCAATTTCAGTTTGGGTCCGTCTTATCCCTCCTTGTCTACGACGTGATGGACGAGGGAAGTCCAGAGCTGAACCTCGCCGCTTGCTGGCGGTTCATGCGGGAGTATTACAGAATCCATCAAACTGCTGTGAGATTCAGGTCCATGAGCCGCTTGACAATGTTCACTCGGCGGAGCGGCGGCCCGAAGCTAAGGGGGAAGGCAGCTGAGATTCGATATTTCGGCGAGGTCCTTTTGGCATTGTGGACAACATATTGCAACGACGAGCTGCTGGTTCACAAGCAGGTCACACTCCTCTTGAAAAGGAACGTCTTCATGGAAAGGATGATAACCGAGCACCAGTCGGACCTTTTTTTGGATGATGGCCCAGCTGCTCTGTTTCAACAGGCATGTGCCGATATGCTGGTGCTTCACGGCGAGCTGGCTTTGCACTTCTCTGCGGAGGGGATGCAGTACTTTGCTTTGACCAGCAAGGCCCACATGTTGCAACATGCTTGTGATCTCTCCCGTTGCCTCTCGCCCAGAACAGACCCTTGTTTGCAGACGAGCATCATAAGCTTTTTCGTTTTTTGTTTCTGGTTTCCAGCACAATAATAATGCCGAAGACTTGGGAAAAGCCAACTTTGCAGAGCCACTCGCTGTAGCTTTTGTTGGAGGTCTTCGGCAGTAAAAACACAATACCTGCAATCGTCTGGAGGTATGGTGTTTTATTGGAGAAGACCTCCAACAAAAACTACAACGAGTGGCTTCGATGAGTCTCAAGGGGAATGTGGGGCCAAATGCGATCAACAAGATGTTTCGTCGCTATCGCCTGGGTCTGAACTTGATCTTCGAGGCAAGCTCGTGAAAGCATTGGGCTTCGCGAAGATCTGGGAGGAATGCTGACTTCACGACAACTGTTTGTCGCCGAGGCAGAAGAAAGTGTTTCAGCGACTCAAGGGTCCGAGCAG